CCGCATAGCAAACATGAACAAAATGATTTATAAACAGACTATAACTACAAACTAAACAAATTCTACTCAAATTAATTCTACAGTTTTGCTTTCTCTGGCGATCCTGTGCATAAAACTGAAATTTAAACAGGTCGGCATTTTACCGGTAAACCGGAAAATCAATGCATAAATTAACTTGTCAGAAGTGTGAATTGCCTCCTGCCAGTACGGTAACGGCCTTGCCGGTACGGCTAATGACTTTCGGGTACGGTAAAGAACCGGCCTGAACGGTGAAGAACCGGCCTGAACGGTGAAGAACCGGCCGGTACGGTAAAGCAGCGGCCGGTACGGTAAAGAAACGCATGCCGCAGGAGACTCACAGGAAACCGGCTTGGTGGTAATGATCAGTTCCCTAAGTTCTCTCTGATATAAATCATGAGAAAAATACACATTACCGATATATATAAGGCAAATCCTGTGTAAACCAAACCTGCAAAACTGAACACAACCAGAAACTGACAAAAAATTTTCAGTAGCCTTAGTTTTGGTTCAGATAGTCACTAGACCTCTATAAACTGAACAATTTTCTCAGTGTTCAGTTTACACAGGTTTAACATACTTACTGGAGCATCATTCAACATAAATATAAGTTCATCAATATCCTGTTTACCAAACGTCCAATTCTTACTCATTGGTAAAGATATTAGCTTCACTTTTTTACCAGTATCACCTTAAAAAAATGCATTGATAATCACATGATTTGACAATTACAACACAAGTAATTCAGCACTTCTTATAACAGAGGGTTAAATTTATTCGAAGATAATATTACCATTTGTTTATCTTTTTAGAAATTTCCGTTACATATATTTTGAACTCAAAATCATGTATTTTCTTCATGATCCAGGCACTTAATTTTAACTTACAGGCATACTGTAAACTGCTTCAATTGTGTGGGTCAATGGAAATTGGGTGTCAGTGACTTTTGCAAAATATTTGTTCACGAATACCATAAAATTATTATGGAAAATACTAGCAGCTAACAACAGAAAATACTAAAAGGTTTACAATATTCATCAATGGCAATAAAAAAAATAGGCCAATGGCCTGTTGCTCAACGGCTATTGTACAAAAGATTAGTGCTGAATATGACAAATACCCCAAAAGGCAGTGAGTGAGACAATAAAACAATGATAAAAGTGGAATTTTTTACAAAAATAACAGAAATATTCAATAAAATTAGAATCAAAGAGAGCTTAAAAAGAACTCCAGCGTGTTGAGAGAATAACATAACATGATATTTGCAATTATCTGAATTCGTAATACATGTATATACATGTTGTACCAAGTTTTGTTGAAATATGTTGAATGGTTCTTGAAATAGCAACCAAATATTCACGAGCTGATATGCAAATTAGATAATGTGTACGGACGGACGACAGACAGACAGACGGACGGACAACCGACGCAGGACAGAAACCCATCCCATAGGCTCAGCGGACCTATGGTCCATTGAGCCAAAAACTAATTTGGTGGGTTTGAGCAGCATACCACATTTTTCGCTATTAAATGCTGACAATTGTGAATAATTGCATAGATTAGACAATCTTGGTAAAAACATGTTTGATTCAAAATGTGTCATTTCAGATACTTTTTCAAATTGGCAAAGTTTGCACACAAAAAATTGATATTTCATGAAGGATCATAAACCCCCCACTCCCTCCCCCTGTTCCTAAAAGTAGGATATTTTTAATGGACTGAAAATGCGAAAATAAAAGCATAAATTGGTTTCAACTACAAAACTTAAAGATAGATTTTTGCCACTGTGACAAAATATCCCTTTGACTCGTTCCCCTAAACAAAATAAGTTTGTTTTTTGACAAATTTCAACAATTTGAGAACATTCTTATATATGTATACTAGGTAGTAGTTTGACTAAGAATTTTTGACAACAAACATTGAAATTAAACTTCAAACATGGAAATAAAAGTATACCTTCTTCAGTTATAAAGTCAAATCCATTTTTCTGGAAAATTTCCAAGTTATCCATCAATACTGATTCATTAACTGGTGTAAGTTCCAATTTCTGTGGTCTAAAAAAATGGCAATTATAAATCGGTAAATTTAGTCTGTGGAAAAACTGTTGTGAATCTAGATATTAAACATTAGGATGGATACAAACTAACAATGTACTCGCTGCCTAGTAGGATTTTTTCTTTACATGGCAAAAGTTAGAATAAAGGTCCTGAAACAATACTGTAATGATATGAGGTTATTACAAGGATACCAAAAAGTATACACGAAGACAATACAGCGAGAGTATCGACTAACGCAGCAGAGGTCGGTGCAACTGCGTACTGTCTGAGTGCATACTTTTCAGTATCCTTGTAATAACTTTATTTTGATACATGTTTTCTTCTCAAGGATACATCATGGGAATGCCGAAATACAAAAAGTTTAGAACAGATTGAGCGAACTTCTTTGTATAATCTCCTGTCAAACCCTGGGGGTTGCCATGTTTGTTTTTATTATTAGAGGATGCTTACGCGTGTAATTGATCCATATTTGGAATTCGCATTTCCTAGCATGGTAGGATGAAAATACCCTGTAAAACACCACAAAATTACGGCTTACCGTAACTTATGGCGTTACGGTCATAGATGTATAATAATATAATATATCTATCTATCATTGGGAAGATTTATGTCTGAAACGCCTGGTAACATTGAATAACTATCAAGGACTACGATTACCTACTACCATTTTCTATTTATAGTAAAATACTTTATTTTTGCTGGGAATAAATTTTCGCTATTTTTGCTCAAGGAATTATCAGTGAAAATAAAATTCAACGAATATATCTTTTTTCCTATATTTTACATTCATTACATACTTGTCAAAAATCAGAGAAAATTAATTCCAGCTAAAATAAAGTATTTTACAGTATTACATTTTACAGTCCCAGCAGCTTTCTCAAATTTAAAGATTTAATTACATTGTACTTATAAACATGGTTGTCCATGACAACAGATGAATGACATTTATGCAACCACTATTCTTTCATATTAGAACCAAAGTCATATCTTGAAATAATAAATAGATGAAAATATTTCTTACTGAATGAGTTTCTGACTTTGTATATTGGTGTGCTTTTGTAACATTTCAAAATTATACTTCTCGTCTGTTGCATGCTGTAAAAATAAAAATGCAGTAGTGATGAAATGTTGTGTTTTAACAATAAGTAATGTCTATAGTGGTAACCTAATGAAGTGTAAAAAGCCCAGAATTTTTGACCAGAATTTTTGAGTGGAACCTCCAAATTGCAAAAATGTGTGGGGAACTGCCAATTATGAGTTAGACCACCAAATTAGAGCAAGATTGCCAAAATTCAAGTGGGACTATCAAATGTAGGCAGGCGAGTAAGATTGCCAAAATGTGAGCAGGACCACTAAATCTGAGGGAGACTTGAATGGTACTATTATTATCTATCATTTATAACCTCAAATGCTATTATATCTACCTACCTGGTCAACTATGAACAAATCTTCTTTAATTTTAACAATGATAAATCCCAAGTTAAACTGTCCAATCACTTCCATATCTTTAAACATCTCTTTACTAGAGAAAATAAACATAGTAAGTCAACTGTATCCTTGTTTTTGATGAGGTCAACATTAAAACAATATTTATAATAGATGAATACAGATGTGGATCTCCAAGTTAAAACTTGTTATATCAGTCTGAAAGCACATTGCAACTGGGATAAGAGATGAAGAAATTTTGTTTTTTGTTTTCCTGTATTGAGAGTGAAATAGAAAATTATCCCATTTTAAATCTTTTTATGAATATATTTGTACAAGTTCTCATATGCTATTTATACATGACACTAATGGTTGACGATTGCCCTGAGCTGTAGTGGTGTTTTTATTACACTATCTTAGAAAATGTTATATAATAAACTTTAATTTGGCAATTCTAATATACAGTAGACAGTAAAGCATTGGGTACCAGGCATTGTATTTAGGTCAGAAGTTATATTTTATGATTATAACAGTACTGTTCAAACAAGTGATGGTTCTCATGTTTACTCCCTTCTATAAAGCAACTATGATTGCCATCTGATTAAAATTTGATGTAATGGTTTCATTTTTTAATACATATATTTTTTGTATTGAATAGATATTTTTGTTCGTTTTTTGGATTTACTTGTTAAGTTGTATTTTTCATATCGTATCCTGGTCGCCTTAACCAATGCTCTGATTGGTTGACTCTTACGCGAGATTTACACGAGATTTCTATATGCATTGAGTCAGATGTAGTTAAGGTGACTGAGATACAATATATAAATAACTTAATAACAGCAAGTAAAACCAAAAAAATTGGATTTTAATCAGTTTGCTGTGATTGTTGAAAATAATGTCTGACAGTGTACGGTAATCAACACTCAAAAAGTGATGTCATGAATATGTACCTAATTTTTCGTTGTAATTCTTCCTCGGCTGATTTATTGTCTTGTGGTTTTATCTCCGCTCTAAATGACCTCCCTGCTGTTTTGAAATCACTTTTAGCCCCTTTAACAAAAAACACAAGATTATAAAAATATGTGAATGAATTGTATACTTAGATTATCTTGAAATTAGAAAAGTGTTTCAATGAAATCACTGGCCAGTGAACTAATAGTTATAGAGTTGGGTCATGTGGATTCAGCATGATGGTAATTTGGTGAGGGTTGCTGTGAGCATTACTGTATACCGTAGTAATTCTAGGTATCTTAAGATGAGAATGCGTATGTATGAATTTATAGGATTTTATCATAATCATCTAGAATTTCCTTTATTACTATAATGAACAACTCAGTGTCAATTTTTGACTTGTACAATAACTTACTTGCATAGAAACTACATTGAACCCACTACTGTATTGTGGGTAATTCTTTATTACAATATGAATTTTTGTTACCATCAGTTTGGGCTTGATGTTCAATACATCGCCTCCTGATGTCATTTTTGTTCGCAATCATTTTCGCCATCATTAGAGGCTTTCATCAGGCGATGGGTAATTACTAAACTAACTGGTGTGTAGCGTAGAACACCACAGCTGTGGCACATGTATCTTTGTATTACAGTATCTATGCTGGGACACTTAGATGTTCATAAATATGTTTAAAGTTGATATAATCTACATGTAGTTCATTACTGTATGTTGTCAAATTTAATGTCACTTAATGATCTGCAAGCTCAAGACTGATGGAATATACAAAATCTGAGTATGTATCGTTCGAGATAATGTACATTTATTCCAATGACATAATACAATGTGCCAAAATGAGGACAATGATATGTTACAATAATACAAGTACTTAATTGTTCCTACCTTGACATTGTTTAAGTCTATTAGCAATACCAGGCAATGAGAATGGCACTTTTACTTCATGTCTTTGAATATTCACCTCTTTATCCTGTGAATTTACAGTAAAAAATATCAGTTTCAAAGTAACACCTCAAGTACCTAAATAGTTTCTGCATAAGAAATGTTCCTTCATCTAAGTAGCTTAGATCTGATCGGAAAAACTAAACTAAATGATGTGCTTAAAGGTCCTACAATGTCCAATGTATGTAATAAGTTTGAACAAAACATTCCATGCATGACCAAAAGCTAGTTTCGTTTGACAAATTTTTAACATTAAAAAGGCCACCATTTGGCCATCTGAATGTCAAACAAATAAATTTGCATATGTGGGACATATATATATATATTATTGGTCAAGGCATGTCAGCTGTAGAAAAGAATTCGCTTATTTAAAAACAAAATGGCAATTAGTTGGTCATTTTGAATCCGATCTGAAAATAAACTGCATCAAAGTCTCATAATGTACTACCGGTAAGTTTGAACAAATCTATCCATACATGTAAATGACGATGACCCAGTTCTAGATTACAGGGGGTATCAGAAATGGCTGCCATTCAGTCCTGATGAATTGGATAATGAAACAAAAGGCATATCTAACAATTGCAGGGTTATGTATTATCACTTGTATAAAAACATTTTGAAATTATAAATGCTAGTGAATTACTTACAACTTCTGTATTTTGTGAAGACTCATGCGACGTGCTACAAACACCATTATCTTCTCGTTTCCATCCTGAAATCTGCTCTATTTTTAACAATGTCTGTTTGCCTGCAGTACACAATGCATCAGTGGTATTCTCAGATCGTTGGCTACTGGCAGTGCTGCTACCAAGTGAACTTTGACTGCTACATGTGATATTACTGTCAATACTGAACCCTTCACTGTCTTGCTTCTCATCTTCTGTTTTTCCAATAGATTGTGATGATGCGATCACAAAATTATCCAGTCTTGGTTCTGAATAATGAAATGTACATTGTCAACAGCAGTCCCATACATGATTCATGCAATCGTAATTTTACAATACTGTGATCAGCATTTTTATCTCGCATCAGGGGGAGTTCTGCGTTCAATTCCTTGAGCCATTCGCTCACGCAACAGTATAAATTAGAAACAGTCTTCCCTGCCTTCTAAATATGAGGTGTTAGGTTTGGAAACTGGTTTGCAACTTATGCTTTTGAAATTAGCACCTAAGATAAAAAAGTCAGGGGATACAGTCGTGACTTCAATATCCAGAAATGTCACCTTGCAAAAAAACTATTTAAAGAATACATATTCAGTTTGTATTACTTACGTTTAGCTGGTCTACCTGGTGATTCAATGTCCACACTCCCAGAATGAGAATAGGCTCTGATGAGTCAAGTAAAAAAAAGATTTCTCATTTGATTAATTATAATGAACTTGTGATGCCATTATTATACCATGACAGCTGTATACTTGGATGGGATACCAATGAAGAACAAGAAATCCATCAGAGATGGCAGATCTCCCAACATCTTTATTACAAGTACTGGTTGAACATGTTATGCATTCTTAATGAGGTCACATAAAAATATATTATTAAATGTAGATCAGATTGTGTGCTCAATGTATTCAATAAAGGACTGGTTGAATGTTTCTACCTGCAATAGTGCTCCAGATATGATTTATACATTTTTAATGAGGTCACACAAACATATATGGTCATTAACATATTGATTAGATCTAGTGTGCAATACCTATTTATTAAGCACTGTGCAATAATGTTCCTGATGTAACTCAATATGAATTGACGGATTGACAGGTAGACGAATAGTGGTAACCACTAAATCCCCAAAAGGTAATGTGCTAGGGAATAATAAATGCATGGGTAAAAAACTGATACGGAATAAGAACTGGGTTACATCTGATGCAATTATTGCATGGGCATTGAGCTTATTTGATAAAAGAATTACCAACAGTGACACTCGTGGGCCCAACATTTTTAAAATAATAAAGGTTTTTTACAGAATTTGAAAAAAATCTATCCAAATCTAAATGTATATTGGATGAGCAGACATACCTTTTTAACCTTGAGAGTGTTAATGTTTGAATGGCTGGTCCTGGTTGAGATGGTGATTTCAATATAGCCATTGGTTTCTGATTCATTTGGTATAAAGCCGATCTAGGTTCATACAACTTTATCAAAGAAGACTGTGGGAAACATAAAATTATTGTATCAATATATGTGTATAAGCATGTGGTAAGGTGATTTCTGTAAACTGTTTTTAATGGCATAGTGAACCCCACTTAAAAAAGTACATGTCAAAAGTGTGGCCAATCAGGTGACTATACACTGAATGAATTGTCCACCAATCGTGTTGGGTTAATTAGGTAATATAACAAATGTGCCTAACTTATCAGGTGACTATATATGCTAAATGTGGTTGACCAATCAAGTGATTACATAAGCCATATTTATCATATTTATACACCAAAATTGTTTGATTAATCTGGTGACAATGGAACAAATGTGTCCAACTGCCTATTTACCAAACATGTTTTAATCAATCATATACACTAAATGTGTTTGGCTAATCAGGTGACAATACAACATGTGTTTAGCCAATCAATGGTCTATACATCAAATGTGTTTTAACTGATCAGAGGAATATATACAGCAATATTTGTTTCTTTAAGTGGTTATATGGCAATCAGGTGACAATCCATCTAATTTGGTCGACCAATCAACTGCCTATCACTGAATAAGTTTTACCCGATCTGGTAACTTTTTGTGCCAATCTTGTTAGGCCAATCAATTGGTTATACACTAAATTTGTTTAACCAATCAAGAGACTAGTTATGCCAAATATTTTGGTCCAATCAGGTGACAATATGCGCCAAATGTCTTTGGCCATTCAATTGGTTATTCAACTCATTTGTTCAACCAATCAAGTAACTAGTTAGTCCGATAAGGTGACTATATAAGTAAAATGTGTTTGGCCAATCAGGTGACAATACAACAAATGCATTATGGGTGATTAAAAATGCCAAATGGTAATTCTCACACAGATATAAACTTAGATTTCAGGGTGAAATGACAAAAATTCATAAATAGACTTAAAAGTATTTTCAGAGTGCTCAGTCCAAAAAACAGATAGTTGCAGAAAAGATGTGATGCGTTATTAACTAACCTTGACAACAGCCAGTAATGTTTTTTCTTCTGCAACCAATATTTGTCTTTTGTCTGGAGTGATATTCACATCTACACTCTCTAAGCAAATAATGAAAAGAGATAAGAGACACTACCATCCTAAGAATAATTGGAAATATCCTCATTTATATAACAATATTTACAGTTGTAAAGTATAAATAAGTGTCACTTCTTACCCTTAGACAATGTGATATCCAATACTACAAAGGGATACTGATGTCTATTGTACATGTGATACACTTCATTCAATACTTTAAATACCTGAATAGAATAAATAATTCAAAAATATGTACATATTATTATTGCATATGTACTGCAGTTTATTTTGATTCATTCCTAAAAATCAAAATCGGTATTTCCACACCCCATATGCAAATAAGGTCTGAGAGCAAACAAAGTAGTCCTTTCAGGAGTACCGTTTGTCAAAACATAGCAAAATTAAACAATATTTAGAAGTACGATATTTTTTCCTTGGGGTACATGAATATACTTGCCAAGCAAAATGAAACAACAGTAATGGTACTTTTAGGCAGTCACTTATTTTGACTGAAACTAATTTGCATATCACCCATGCAATAGTGTTTTTGGTAATTTCACGGCCGATATGCAATGAACATGGTATTTCCATTGGCTAACGAACTATTTTTATTTTGTAAACACATTTTCACACATTCACTAGCATTTCTGGCATGTTACATGTAGGTGTACATCACATGTATACTACAATTAATTGGGAGAACTTAATGTATGTTGACCACCTAGAAACTGAGTTTTATAAACCTTGAAGGATTCTTGGAAGATCCACCCACAGCCGGGATCCGCAGTAAAATCAGCGCAACCATCAACATCGAGATACCAGGAGATTTCTGCTGGTGACACTGCGACGTTACTCAGTTACAAATAAAGATTACCAACTCCAAATGAGCAACAAGACTCAGTCAATCCACGACCAGCAAGCAACATTACAAGCGAAGTTGTAGTTTGCAGCTCAGCTACGACGTATGTTGACGAAAGTCATCCCGTCAGTGGAGTACCACAGTTGCACGGCATGTTTGCCTATGCACAATTCTGTGGAGGAACTTTCAACTTCAACATAAACTGTGTACCATAGTCGTCCAGTTCAAGTTCTGGTTCTGTCGTGGTCCCAACTAAACGTCCATGAGTTATTTATTCGAACAATGACTCAAATTCAACGTGTGATTATTTCATTTTCACACAGACAGTGACACACCTTCTACACTGACATGCATTGCTAGAGTGTAACACTATCTTGGAACATATTAATGGGCAATGGGGTTCCCCGGCCTAAATTCCATCCCAGTTTGTTGCACGTTCTTTTTTTAATATGAAATAATCAAATATGGAACATATGTAATAATAACAGAACCCCACACCCTCCCCGTGGA